CCGACCACTCCCCCCCCCCCGCCCAAGCAGGGGGCCCCCCGAGGGCTGGAAGGCGCCTCCAAAGGAGCCCCTCCTCCTGGCCTCGGGCGGGGGGGGGGGGGGGGTGGGGGGCGGGGGGGGCAGGTCAGGAACTGGAGGAGCAGCCGTCCCAGCCCCAGAGGACGGCGGGGCTTCCGCTGGAGGCCGTCGGGGGAGGAGAGGGCACCCTTAAGGACGCTGGTTGCTGCTTTTGTGGTTCTGAACCTGAGCGGACATGGAGCTCAGCATTGGGGGCTGGCGAGGCCTTGGGCAAGAGGGGGCGGGGGTCTTGCTGGTGAAACTCCTTCCCTACTCGGATATAAAGGAGATTGCAAATCCTGAATAAATCGAGCAGCCCTTCTGCCCAAGGCCTGTCCAGGCTTCCCAGAGGACAAGCGTGTCGGCCTTCATTCTCATCCGGAGGCCCCTGGCAGTGAATCTGCCCTAAAAGTGGGACAGACAATTCAGGTTGACAGGCAGGAGAGCCGTGAGCGCCTTCTGGCCCCGGAAGTGCCCAGCCAGAGGCTCAGGGGAGACCCCAGCTGCAATGCAAGAGGGAGGCAGGGCTGCCAAAACCCCTCCCCTCCTTCTATTGGGGTCTCCACAGGGAAATGGAGGCCCTGCTTTTAGCAAGTGTCTTAGCCAAGGCCGCCTCTTCCTTGCAACTCTGTCCGTGCACGTCATCCTGGGGGTCTAGGATGAAATAGGTGGGCGCATTGGGCGTTAGGGAAGGCTGCAAATGCGAGCAGCCGGGCCTGGTCTGATTCCACCAGAGTCAGAAAAGGCAGAAGAAAAACCCTTGGGAGGGGACATCTGTCCTTTCAGGTCAAGTGAAGGTTCTCTGTTTCCTTGGCTCCCTTCCTTTGCCAGGGAACAAAGGCTGATAAAACACAGATAAGGCATCTTGTACGGTGTTTGCCTGGCTCTGTCTGGTGGTTTTCCAGCCACCTTGAAATGGGGGAGGAACAAGGAAAGGGCAGAAGGAGAATTCCCAACGCCAGGAGGAAATAAGGCAAGACTTTTATTAAACCAGAAAGAAAATATTTCCAGAAAGAGAAGCATTGGAGGTTCCAAGAATTTGGGTCAGCGAAAGGCTTGGCCAGGCTGCAGTGTTTTTTCCGGCCTCTCGGCTTCCACTCCCACTAGAGCTGCTTGGAGCAAGGGAGGAAGCCAAGGGCATCATCGTAAGGGAGCCAGGCTCTGCTGAGAGTCCTTTCCTCTGAGGCCGTACGGTTGCAGAGAAGGGCACTATCCCCCCCCCCCCAAGAGTCCCTGCAACTAGGACTGGCATAGACACGGGGGGGGGGGGGAAGGCCCTCCTAGAGAGGGACAGGTCATTCTCTTCCAGTGAAGGAGGGAGAGCTGCACAGGCTGGTCAGTCCCCGGAGGACTCTCTATCTGAGGCAGAGGTCATCCTCACCGGCCCAGGCCAAGAGCAGAGCAGGAAGGGCCGTAACTGCCTTGAGTGCCCTGCTGGCGTTTGGTCAGCCGTCACATCCCAACATCCTCTGGAGGTCAGGGGAGACTCTTTCCGTGCTGTGGCTGCGGATGGCTTCCCCGAGCCAGGCGGCCCTTCGGTAGACTGTTGAAAAGCTGAGCTGCTATTCCTGGCTGTGAAAGCAATGCGGCCCGCCTCCATCCCTTCCTGATCCAAACGTTGGTGCTGTTGATACGGGGCACCTCAGATGCTAAGCCCTTTTGGTGGGCAGGGGGGTAGGAGGAGGAGGAGGGGGTGAGCCGAGAAGGGCCGCTGCTGCTGGTCAGAGGAGCCCCTCCCTTGTGACCAGGGTGCCTTCTCCGGAGAGGAGATCTCTGGGGAGTTGCTGGTTTCCCTCCCCGAGGTCTCAGAGAGCCCATCTCCTCCCCCAGCCCAACTGCTTCCCTCCCAGCTGAGTCACGGCAGAGAGAGGCCGCCACAGGCACCTGGTGCTGGCAGAGGAGCAGAGGCCGTGCCCTGATCGGCATCATTACAAGGCTCTCCGGCTGAGAAGTCAGCACCAGGCCTCTCGCATTTCTGCAGCTGCACAGCCTGGCCTCCCGGAGCCCTGCTTCCATCAGCCGGGGGGGGGGGTCCCCTTGCTCAGCACCCCTGGAAGCAACACCAGGTGGTGTGGGCTGGAAGTGAGAGGCAGATTTGCCCTGGGGGGGGGTCTCTTTGGAGGGGAGCACATCCTCCTGAAAGGCCCCACCCCGGCCTCTCTCAGTTTCTGGCTGGGGACTGGACCTTGGGCTTCCTCTGAAAGGAATGGATTCAGACACAGAGACCACCACCCCCCCCCGAGGACTTTATTCTCATGGTGAAATTGCCCCCCGGGAGGAGTTGGTCTTCCTGCACGTCTTTTGTCAGGAGTGGCCAAGGGGCCCAAGTGAGAAGGTCTTGCTTTTCCAGGCACAGTCACACACACACACACACACACACACCAGACCAGGGTAGTCACGGTGGGGGGTCATTGGCACAATCACTGTCACTATTCTAGAGGACATCTGCCTTGAGAAGCAGCTGGCCGGCCGTCTTCTTCAAGAGTTTTCCTGAGCTGGAGAGCCCCTTTGACCTTAAGAGCTGGATTCTGGTGGGGAGGACACCCCAGCCCCCGCGCCTCCAGGCCCAGCCTTAGGGTTTTAGGGTTAGGAATCTAATCTCTGCGCTTTAGGAATAAGGTGAAAAGGTTCCCTTTTGGCCTCACAAGCCTCTGATAAAATTGGTGACATCATGGACAATCCTCTTTGCTGCGGGAAAGGACAGGGTGCGGTAGCCAAAAAAGGCCATTATTCCATGCATGCCACTCTCAACATGGCTCCAGGTGACCGGCACTCCATTGTCCATCAGCCGCTTCATGTACAGCAGCCCGTCGTCTCGAAGGACGTCAAACTCGCAGGTCAGAAGGAAGGTCTGAGGGAGCTTGCAGATGACCGCATCTTCGGCCAGCAAAGGGGAAAAGGTCTCCGAGAGGACCTCTTTCATTTCCTCGTACAGCTGAGGGTTGAAATCGGACAAAGAGGGGTCTCGTTCTGTGTAGCCCCTGACTTTGAACCGTTGGGGGATGTTGTTGGCATTGACCCACTTCTGGTACTTCAGCCGGGTGGCCGTGGGGACGTGGCTGCCCTTCAGAAGACCATTTGCAAAGGAAGTCGACTTGTTAAGGTAGCGGCAGCAAAAGTAGGGGACCAGTTTCTTCGACAAGAGGGGCATTCTGCAGTTCTGCTGGTAGGAGGGCAACGACAAATCCATGCCCTGAAGTCCTGGGTAGATCAGCACCTGAGCGTGGACCTTGGGCAGATTTCTGTGGCCTACCAGTAACTGGCAAATGCGTGTGGCAAAATTAGCCCCACAACTGTCTCCGGAAATGATAATACGGGAACTATTTACGCCATAATCTTCCCCGTGTTTCATGAGGTGGACAGCAGCCTTCAGACATTCAGTATACTGGTTTGGATAAGGATTCTCTGGCCCAAGTCCATACCTGAAAGGGGCAGGAAATGGCTTATTATGGATTCTTGGTGCATTTATGAATTCAGTTCTCGCTTTCTTTTGTAACTGTTTTAATAATATGTAAGATGGAACCGCCCTCTTGCAACTATAGTGAGCTTTTATAAAAGCAATGATTCAAGATAGTACTAAGTAGTTCTTGCTTTTAAGCAGTGGAATCTAAAAAATGTCCATGTGAAATTATGAAAGTTAACCAATAGGGACTATGTGAATTAATCCTGAGTAAAACCCAACAAAATTGATGGAGAAGGATATGCCAGGGAATCCCACAGCAGGTGTCCAAATGAAGTCAGAGATGCTTGCATGAATTTCTAGTTTTATATGCCATGTTTTTCAGAGTATAAGACGCACCAAGGTTTTGAGGAGGCAAATAAAAAGTTTTTGCAGTCTGCAAACCTCCCCAAAACAGCCTGTTTTTTGTAAAAAGGGGCCTGTTTCCCCCCCAAAAAGGCATGAATAGCCTTTAGGAGGCTTGCAGATTGCTCCTGGGGGCTTGGGGGGGGGGTAAAATTGAGCAAAAAATGGGCCTTTGTTTGCTCATTTCCGCCCTCCCCAGCCCCAAGGAGCTCTCTGAAAGCCTCCCTAAGGCTATGCACGGCCATTTTGGTGAAGGGGCGGGGTTTCGGGAGGCAAAAAATGCTGTATTCAGTGTATAAGACGCACCCAGGTTTTCAGCCTCTTTTTTGAGGGAAAAAGGTATGTCTTATACTCTGAAAAATACGGTAAATGAATATTTACATCTCTATTTACAGCAAAAAAGGCAGTCAGGCCAACAGGGACACCGTGAGGTAAATCACAGAGAA